GTTCTTCCGACGTCTGATTTCTTTTTAATTATAGGAAATGCGTTTTTCTAAGGTACATAAACTTTTGGGATTGACTGTATAGCCAATACATCCTTAATAGCAGGATTAAAATGAAAGATGTTTCTATTGTTTCAATTTCGGAGGCGACTCGAACGATCCGTTCTTTGTTTGTCACAGGAATTTCGATGTTTCTACATGGAAGACCCAAGTGTTCGCGCCGCCGAACGATCTGATCGCGACTCCGCAGTTAGAATTTGAATTGGGCGATCTGAAACCTTCGACGGAGTACAAGGTGAAGATCACGGTGAAGCTGAAGGATCTGGGCAACAGCCCGACCAGCAAAATCTACAGCGTGAGGACGCTTGATAAGCGAGCGGACGCGACCACTCTACCGCCTCAGATACCCATCGATGCCGAGCTCCACATAGCCGAAACGAATTCAACGTGGATGAACGCGAGGTGGAGGAAGTTCACGGATTACGAAATGCAGTTCATCGACGGTGTTCAACTGAGGTACAAGGAATTAGACAGCAAGGTTTATTCCGGCACGCCGTTGATCCACAGAGCTGTCACGAATTACGTGATCGAAAACCTGAGACCCTCGACCACCTACGAGGTCGGCATCGTCTTCGTCCCGTTCCCTGGACAGTTGACCGAATTGATCAGCGAGAAAACGGTAAATTTCAAGATCAAAGAATAATTCGAATAATATTTAGCGCGGTTCACAAATGAAAATTTCTGTTTCTCTTTCGAAGGTTCAAGTGACCACCGCGATGGAACCGGATCCGTACTCGTTCGACGTCAAGGTGGAGATTAAGACGATTAAATCGACGGACGTGGAAGTGACGTGGTCCGGCGTACCGTATCCGGAGGACAAATACGTGAACATTTACAGAGCGATCTATCAGAGCGACAGTGGCAAGGAAGACATGAGTACTTTCAAAATCGCCAAGAGGGATTCCCATCCGAAGACTGTGATTAGCGATCTGAAGCCAGGTACCAGGTACCGACTGTGGCTAGAAGTGTACTTGACTAATGGAAGGATAAAGAAGAGCAACGTCCAAGACTTCGTTACCAAGCCCGGTGTGCTTCTCCCGGCCACCGTGTCTCAGCAAGGTACAATTAAAGAAAATTATAAACTTAAGTCTAAAGCAGATACAATTTTTCCATAGATGAGATCGATAGTTTAATGACAAGAAATTATATTAAAATAAATGGGAAACGCATAAACTGATGTTGTATTAACTATTTCAGCTGGAAAGCTTGCGTCACTGCCAATTCATGAGGGTGATTATTACGGGCCTTTGGTCGTAGTAGCTATTGTCGCTTCTCTCGCTATACTATCGACCTTGATCTTATTAATGATGTTGATGAAAAGACGGACTAGCAGTAAGGCTGATATATCCTCCCGTAAAAGCACGTCGGCGTACGACAATCCTTCCTACAAGGTAGAATTACAACAAGAGACTATGGGTAATTCACTCTCATTGTTTTAATTCGATAATCGCGACGCTTTCATTCGTGGCAATCGTCATTCGAATAACACCGACTATCTGCAGCGCGCTTTGACGATATTTTAAAAACATTCTTTTCTTGTCTGCCAGACCTGTGAAGACGCAGTGATGATATCAAACGGTAGGAATAAGAACGCAGACCATGAGATGGCTACTATAAACAGCAACGTCAAAGAAACTGCTTGAGGGTTTTGTTATTTATTAAATTTTATTTATTTGATACCACTTCTCCGTCTCGTGGTAAGTATTTCGGTCTGACGTATCAGGAAGTGACGTGTGTACGTACGCACACGTTCGCATGTTTTAATAACAAATTCAGATGTTTTTTAATCGTGCGAAACGCTCGGCAATTTTTCAATTCCTGTCGGTCACGTTGCGTCACGTTGTATTAAAAACTTTGTACATAGCGGTGTCGAGTAATACTAAATATTATTACGTTAGGTAGTAAGATAGGTGTAAGAGAAATTGATTTTATAGTATAAGTAGGTAAAGCTCGAGACCTTCACCTTGTAACATCATTCCTTATACGTACACTGCCACGGTGTATTTAATATTAACAATTAAGTCGATCCGCCTCTTGTACAGTCTACATTTACATCGTTAGAAATCTACGTATCGAATATAATGGCAAGTACACCGTACGGAAGTGTTGAATCATGGATTGAATAAAAACACGGTTTGTATAAATGAGAGTATTTATTTATAGAATCTCATGGGCAACAATTTTCAACTTTCTCAGTGATACAGAAAATATACAAGATACAACAGCATAAGTATTCATGAAGTTCACCGTTTTAACAGTACTAAGAAAGAAATTAATTCAATAACAATTAATATCATGGAAGTACTCGTTGCTGTTTAAAACAGCATTAAACAAAAGCAAAGAAGAGCTTAGAAGAGCTTCTGCAGCTCAGGTTCCAATTCGAGAGGACTTGTAGTTGGAGCATATCTGGAGACGACCTTTCCTTCTTTGTTGATGATGAATTTAGTGAAATTCCATTTGATGTCGTCTGTGATAAATCCGCTTGCCTGTGTCTTCAACCATTTCCACAGTGGCTGTGCGTCATCTCCATTGACGTCGATCTTTTCAAACATGTCAAAGGTGACATTGTATTTCTTGACAAAGTCCATGATCTCCTGAGCAGTGCCTGGTTCCTGGCCACCAAACTGGTTGGATGGGAACGCCAGGATCCTCAAACCTTCCTTCTCGCTGTACTTCTCATACAACTTTACTAGCTCCTTGTAATGGTTGTCTGTGTAGCCACAATTACTAGCAACGTTGACGATTATGCAGACGTGCCCACGATACTTATCTAATGATACATCGTTTCCGCGGATATCTTTAGCATGAAAATCATAGATAGTAGTAGCTTTATTCCAATCCTTCTCTTGAACAAACGTCGCTAGAGTAGTGGCAGAGCATTGTCCCTGATCGTTCTCACAGACTTCTGCCATCACCGCTCCGAAGAGCAGAACTGACAAAACAACGAATTCTACGCAATACAAAAATCACAATCGGTAATTACGACAGGTAATGTTAATAGAACACTATTCAGATGTAATCGCAAACAACACAATCGCGGCTACGCCATTTCATGCCGCGCCGGTTCCGCGCTATCTTCGAACAAGAAACAAAAGAAACGACCTCGAAACAACTCAATAAACGTCTTACTTTAAGTGAACATTTATATTGAATGCGCAGTTCACCTCTCGTTACATGCAGATGAAGTTAATTAAATATCGAAAAAACTGCTACTCACTGTACATGTTGACGTCCTCTCGGGATATTATGAGATAAAAAAACCTCTTGACTGATACGATTCGAATAGCTATCAATAAATTTCTTATTAGTTTCGAGAATAATGAATGTATCCGTGAAATTATTCCAAGTCGCAGTAAATCATACCTTGCACTGTGACGTCGAACGCGACGATCGAACTTAACTGGCGTTACGGTCCAACGAACAATGCGGGAATCAGCGAGAATTGGCGAGAATCTGCAAAAGAATGCGGCGATCTTCCCTTTCTCCAGTATTTATAACTCGTTGAAAACGACGCTACAAACGCAGATGGCGCTGTATAATCGAGATATTTATGTTAAATACTGTTCGTAAAATTTTAGATGATATTACATACGTCACATCCTCACGATACGCCTGTTCTGTTGCCTGTAAACTTTCAGTAGTGTCAGTGAATCGCGAGAATCCGCAGGTTAATCATACTCCGTACTACACAGTCTTATCATATTCTGAACCGTCATTTTACAAATACGAAAGTGTACAAAGCTGTTTAAACATACAAGGTGGGTACGTTTTCCATATAACTAACAGTGATCAAAATTCATCCCTGCAACCTGTTGCTTCTTTACTATTCCCGATGCAATTTGAATGCACGTTACAAACATCGCGAAGAATAACAATAAATGATATATTATATTCGAACTTCTTTTGTTTTGAAGTTCGAAAGCAAACAGTGGATTTCTTTTTTTAAATGGAGTACTTTAATGTATGTACTGTAATGCTGGTACATAATTTTATATTAAAAGAAACCGGTTTCACTTGTGGAAAACCCAGATTATCGCGAGGTCATTAAAAATCATAGTCGTCAGGCATTCTAGTCACGATAGATTCTGTCTACGCTGAACTTTTGTTTCTCTTTCGTCCTCGTAATAATAGAATTTCTTTGTTTGCTTTGTTTATAGATACTTCCAGGCAAAGTATCGCGTACGTGTCCTAGATATGGGTTGCTTAAATTATGATTAAAAACAGAAGTTGCAAAACGTAACTTATCAAAATTAGATGCAGCTAAATGTTTGACCTTAAAGTTAAGATAAAGCGAGCTGTTCTCCGTTCTCATCGAATTCATCTTCTAATCGGAATACGCCCATAATTATAAATTGGAAAAATCTTCAATAAATAAATTCTAACGCTCTCGTTTTTATTATTCGATTATCGTAAAATTACATATAAAGAATGCCGCTACTTCGAAATTTATCTCGGCGTTTTAATTTGCTAACAACCGACGCGAAACCTGATCCACCGCGAGTACCGCCTGAAGGATATACGCATAATTTAGAACCGAATGCGAACGGAGAATCGAAGAACAAGTCACAAGAGGATCAAACTATTCTAGCGTCCGAACAAAGAAACTCTTTCGAAAATGACGCGGTGCCGATTAACAAATCGCAATCGAGCACCTCTACCACAGAAGATTTAAACGATGCTAAATCTTCTCAGAATGATGCGAAAGGACAAAAACGGCCGAACGTGAAAACGAAGTCAAAACAAAATTGTAGTGAGTATTATCTCGACTGTCCGTTCGGACGCGATTGATTTGCACTTATGCGTGAACTATGCTATTACAGCGTGTAGAACGCGTACTGTGAATTATAACATAATTAACTCAAATGATGTGAACATCGGCTCGAAGACAAGTTACATTTGTAACGTTAATCAATTGGCCAAGAATAACGCTGATACATCGGAGGAGCCGTGCTCGAAAACAAAATTTCGACAAATGCCGATGGAAGTGGAATGCTTATCCGTTTCTACTGATCGAGTTACTTTGGACGATATATTTGTCGTTAAAACTTACATAGGACACGGGTGGAGAGACGTAGCTAGGAAGCTATCGTATTCCGACGGACAAATCGAACAGTTCGAAGAAAATTACAGATTCAGGGGCATAAGCGAAGTAAATTTCAGTGCTACTAATTATCAGACAGCGGATTTTAATGCAGACTAAAACATTTGTGGTAGTCCATTAAAAAAACGCGCTTCCATTTTCAATTTTTGTATAAATGCATAAAATTCGCAGTCTACCGATTATTCCTAATTCTATTATAATAAATTTTTGGTACTCTTGTTCTTTCAGGTGATCTATCAAATATTTCTTGATTGGATACAAGCGAATACGAAGGATGCGGAAATCGGTAAATTGATAAATATTTTATGGGCCTGTAAAGAATATGACTGCGCTGAACGACTAATTTCCGCGCGTAACAAATCCATATAATACACTTCAATTGATAATATCTGATATCAGATATTTCTATATAATATGTATGTACATATATAGTACCATTAGCAGTATGGACTTTATTGTTATAATTAGATAAAGGTTGTCATATTTTTTTATACAGTAGAAACCTATATATCTAAACGATATTTTAATTAGTACCTGACTAGTCGAAATTTATTTCATTGAAACTCATTTATACGTCTTACGAACTGAACAAAAACATCACCAAAAGGTTTACATAAATGGATGTCTGCTATATGTATACAACTGAGGTATTTTTAATCATGTACAATTACAATACAAATTATAACAAAGTACGATTTTTATACAAAGTTTACAAAAATATTTACGCGACTGATATGTGAAACATTTTTTCAAATGACACATTAGTGGGCTACTTCAAGTCGTAGAAAGAAAAGTCATAAGTATTAAAGCATTGATTACTCCATCACCAATATGTACAGTCGAAAGATCTAGTTAACGTTTAAGAACGAATAAATTTGAACAATCTCTTCAATTCCAGTTCTTATATTTAACAACACGTGCTCTCAAACATAAACGTAATGTGCACAATGCTTAAAGAACAAATTAATTTACTCGTCGGCCCGAAAACCTGCTGTGATTCCTGGTTTCATCGGCGAAACCGCAGTAATACCTTTTTTCGATGTATGTTTATTAGCGAAAATCTCATCTCTGCAGTTCTCAAAATCCACGATCATCTCTTCTAAATTTTTGTTTCCATCCAAAACCATGACTGGCGCTGGTACAGTGAACAATGTTTTGTGGTAAAGCCAATCGTCATGAATACTATGTAGTTGCTTCAAGTATTCCAGTGATACACTGTTTTCCTCCATCCTCGCTCTTTCCTTCATCCTTTGATAAACAACTTCCGGCGTTGTCCTCAAGTATACTGTATCAACAGTTAAATGATAATTAGTGGGTATCTAACAGCTATTAACTTGAACCATGTGGTTAAAATGGCGCACGTACCTATTAAATCAGTTTCTATTTTAGCATTTTGTATACACCACTCGTACCAGTCTTCTAGAACAACTACTTCTACGTCTCTTAATAGCTTCGTACGTTTCATATTTTCTATAAAACACCTTGCACTGAATACTGATCTCTCCATGATTTTATACGGCATTGGAGACTTAAACGTGTGAAGCTGTAACATCGTTAATTGTACATATGATTGGAACAAGAAGCTGTACCTCATTGGGTCCTTGTACATCAGTTCCTGTATAACATTTAGAAGATTCATCAGTATTACACGATTTTTATTAGTGTATTAACTGTTCAAGCACTTGAAATCTTACCAATAAATTTGTCCCAGCGACATCCCGCCAAAGTTCCACTGGTTCTTGTAAAACCGTAGTGTTATCAAATTGTTTAAAATGAGTTAGAAAAGTTGTCTTTCCACTTCCTATATTTCCCTCTACGCACACCGTAAACGGTCTCGCGTACATCTTACAAGGGCTGGTCATCCTTGCCAGTACGACAAAGGTTTTTCCTTAAAGAATTCAACGATGTAAGGTATTTATAACAAAAATAATTTTTTCTGTATTATGCAGAAGATCACATAGGCATTTTTCACTAGAAATTATGTCCACGTTTAACGAGATCGAACAGAAATGTTAATCAGCTGTCCTAAACTTGGCTTACTGTAAGAATGAGTAAGTATTCGATAATGTTCCCGCGTAAATTTTTCCATAGTAATCATTCTTATGCTAGCCGGTTCAGAGAGGGGATAAACCTATCCCTTCCCCTTCTCCAACCGAAAAACTTGACATTATCGCATTACCAACGATTATCTTTTGTCAACTGAATAATTACCTATTAAACTCATGATTGTATAATTTTTCTGTCTGACACTGTTTATATGACAAGAAATTATAAACACTTCCTGATGAACTTCTTTCCAGGATTACATTTCCTTGCACCACCTTGCACATGTGTAGTACTCCACTGCCTATGTAGACCATAGAGTGGAACTCTTACGAATGAATCGTCCACGAAATTATATAAATAAGCAGATATTACGAAAATTAAAATTAAACACGAAAACATGCACTGACATGCACATTATCCTTATGTTCATAAACGTCGGGAATAAAATAAAATTTTCTCTGCGTCAACTGCTGTCGTTTGAACGAAATAAAATATAAGTTCTCCTACACTAGTATTTACATGCACGTGTATGTACTACATGTACTTAGAAATAAACGTAGAACTTTGCAATTATTTTCTATTAAACAGAAAGGGAATCTTATCAAGTCAACGACAATTAGTGTCTGAAACAATCAATAATATGTGTTACACGTGCCACGTTTCATCTGTTAATATGTATTAGCTTGTCATTAGTTGTTAGGAACTTGCGATCGGCTTATCGTAGGAAAAATGATTTGATGAAGTATTTTTAAACATTTTTTAAGTCATCAGTCGGAGTATCGTGCGTCGTAATTTTTATCACCGGCCTTTTATCTCGATTTTTAGAAAATTGTAAATACGTGTTAAATATGCAATATATTGTCCGTCGGAAGTTACTGTTATAACCATAGTTATAACACAATTTTGCATGCAATTGCAAAAAGTCCGACGTCAAAAGCCAACATTATGAGATGATCTGTTGACTCGTTACTATATTGTTTGTATTCAAATTTTATTGTAATTAGAACAATGCGAAATTTTGTAGGTGACATCGTCATTTGGTAAGTTCCAAATAATTATACTATTAAACATTAACAATCATTTTATTCTCGTTTCATTTGTTCTGTTTCACTCCTCATTTATTGTAATCATTTTTTCCGTAGCATACTGCTACTGCTTTCAGTGACCCTTATATTTGGAGCTAGCGAAATTATCAAATCTCTTGTGAATACAGGGGAAAATTTGTTAAAAACTTCCTCCTACAGCTGGATCATCAAATTGTGTTTAAATTTACTGAGTTATGCCACTGTATTATTGCCAGGTTGCCTCATATACAAATATGTACGCCACACCAAATATATTCAGAGAGGAGGTAAGCAGGAAAGACAGAATTTAAATGTATAACTGGATTTAAAACTGAACAATTTCTTTGAACAGGCAAAGGTTGTATACACAGATTAGTACATGAATGTTTTGTCGGCCACTGTGAAACAGGGCTTTTGGATGCTTCTTATACAAGCACACCACCAAATAGTCAACGTACTTTTACACAAGATGCTTTGTTACTCATGTATTGTTTCTTTGGACTACAAGTCAGTTATTTGACATGGGGTTACTTACAAGAGAAGATAATGACTCAGGTATAATAGTCTACAGTCTAACAATTCCACATAAGCATATCTGACAGTCTGTAGGATCAGCATTTTTTTCTCTAGGAGTATGAGAACGTTGCTGGTAACAAGGATCGTTTTCAAGACTCTCAGTTTTTAGTGTTCGTAAATAGGATTCTTGCATTCTCGATGTCGGGACTATATTTATTAATTCAAAGACAGCCACAACATAAAGCACCCCTCTACAAATACGTATTTTGCTCTTTATCAAATATCATGAGCAGTTGGTGCCAGTATGAGGCTTTGAAATACGTCAGCTTCCCAACGCAGGTGATCATCTCATTTCTACCTCAAAATTGAGAGTATTGTAATTGCATATAAATTACAGGTATTGGCAAAAGCTTCCAAAATAATCCCAGTAATGGTAATGGGAAAGATAATATCGCGAACCACTTACGAATATTACGAGTATGTTACCGCTGTACTCATTTCTGTTGGGATGACACTGTTCATGTTGGATAGTACTGATCATAAAAATGGTTAATACCAATTCTTATAATGTTTATTCATTGATCTTTTGTTCTTGTCATTATTCTTTTTTCATGCTTTTAGACGGAGTTACTACTGCGTCTGGTATCATTCTCTTAGGAGGCTATTTATTATTAGATAGTTTTACAAGTACCTGGCAAAGTGCATTATTTGTCGAATACGGGGCTACAAGCGTACAAATGATGTGTGTAGTTAATATGTTCTCCTGCTTACTGACTGCTATGTCCTTATTTCAACAATCTAGTTTTCCTGTTATACTTTCTTTTATGATAAAGGTAATTTTGATTGAACCCGTTAGTCCATCGACGTTAATCACAGCTAAATGTTAAATATTGCCTTACAGTATCCTAGGTTTATCGTGGATTGCTTACTTATGTCAATTTGTTCAGCGACTGGCCAGTTGTATATTTTCTATACTATTTCTAAATTCGGCCCAGTAACGTTTGTCATCATGATGACCATACGACAGGTAATCATTTTCGACACGACTTTTCTATTTTCAGCAAAACATTTAACTACAGGAAGTGTTCTCTTTACAGGGTTTAGCTATTTTATTATCCTGTTTGATCTATCACCATCATATAACAGTATTTGGTATAATTGGTGTAATAGTAGTGTTCGGCTCAGTATTCTTACAAATATACTGTAACAATCGTTTGCGCGCAATCAGGAGACGTAGAGCTGCGGCGAATACTATAATATAGGTACAAATTTTGAAGAGTTTTATATTTCCTTTTTAAATACACACCGATTTCGTCAACTGTTTGTCGTTACTGAAATCTACTGACTATTTCACACACGCTGGGAGAAAAAAATCTGTTATCTTTTATAGCGGTATTCGATGACGTAATTTCGAGCAAAGTACCTTTAAACGAAATGTATTTTATAATCTCATTTTACTTAACACTGTACGATTAAATCGGAAGGATGCATTATTTATTCTAAGAATATTTATTTTATTAAGAATGTATCATTTTTACAAAGCCAAAAAGAGATTAATAAAACGTGAAAATGATTACATAATCTGATGTGCGAAATGTTATGGAAATTAAATAGGCGGCTTAGAAGGCTGAATCAATTTTAATTTCCATAGGTATGCGAACATACAATATTTTAATATATCTGCTCACTCTTCTGGAGACGTAGGTTTATAAATAGCTATAAGGCACAAGATAGAAATGATTAATTCGGATGCCAAGAGTACCAGTTGTATGCTACAAAGTATCACTTCTAATCTGAGAACGTAATTTTGCCAGATTAGAAAGTACAGCGTAGCCAAGGAGCTGGGCACGGTCAAAATAACTCCGATAAAAATGGGCAGTCCATGCTCGGTCAAATTCCCTTTCCTCCCAAGATAGATCCTGGCTCCTTCCGTGATTATCAAAAAGAACAAGAGCGCGAATTCTGTCAGCGTCGTACTTGTTCCCGTTGGCAGGTTCGCCGCTTTGAAAAATCCCATACCCAGCTCGCATATCGCGAACATACCGAAGTAAAAAGAGTTCAGATACATTAGAATTTCGTATGTTAAGGATGAACTGGCTATAATTGGCATTTTGTCAACTCCTTGACAATATTAGAAATTAGGTTCTATCTACTAGACCATAAATAGTCTCATACTGTTTCAATCATTTAGAGATGATCATTCATCCTCCCATGACACTTCCCCTCTTGGTCGTTTATTGACTTTTCTTTAACATTCTGTTTGTAACTCAACGATATCACTTTTGAGTTATATGTACTGCCCTTTGGTTAGGACAGTATATATTGTATTGACGAACACTTCGATAATAATATTATACTGATTACTTTCACTGCTGTTTATCACAATTACTTTTCTCCTCAATTTTCTCATGGATCAAGCGTTCCAATCATGATACAATGTATACACGTCGAAAAAATGCAAAGTATTTACTAGGCATGTTGTACCTACACCTACGCCTACAATCTATTTTCATCAATTTCATAAAACGAATAACACGAATACATGAAGCAGGGTTACCAAACAGCGAAATGAGAAACAATTTGTTTAGAATTATTCGATAGATATTATAGCAAAAAAAGTGATTAGGAAGCAAAAACAAAAAGAAATTGACTGACTTTAAGTAGTATGATATCTGACCGAGTTAATAACCTTTGCAAAATACGAGAAAATCCAAGGAAACATGTTCGTTTGATGATACGAAATCTATTACGAGAATTAAAACAGATTTAAATGAGAGAATACGAATGAACAGCATTAATAAAGTGATTTTAACGAGGAAACAAATTGCTCGAACTGTCTATCATGGAAAATAATCCAGCACGATTGAGTATGATTAGCGATTACTAATGGCACTTTGCCCGAGGGTGTTTCGTTTGAACAAATTCCTCCAGAATCAAAGGAAGAGATGGCAAAGGCACGTATCACCGATCCGATTTCATCAATCAATAACGAGAAGCGCCAGCACGTTGGGATGCTCGAAGCGGGCTGTTAAGGCCATATTTGTTCTCTCGTACAAGCCTCGGCATCAACGGCAAATTTATGAGAATGATTTATTGCTGAGGGAGACCGAGCGCGAAAGCCTCTTCAACGTTATTTTGATCATGGCCAGAGTTTTCGTAATAGGATCCGTCGTTATCGGGCTGGCCGTCGCGTATTTTGTCACACGGCTTACGCATGGGAACGGGTTTCCCTTGATCCTTCGGAAAAGTAATTTACTCTTTAGTAAAAGTGTGCGAGAATCCGAAAAGGTCGGGTTTTCGATATTTTCGAGTTCTTGTCCACGTCTGTTCGTTAATTAATAAAGTCATTCTAGATTAGTTAAAAAACCAGAGCGTAACAAAATCGTTTTCTTTTAACCGGATGCACTTTCCCCCTCGTACGCTTATTATTGAGAAGAGATTACTAAAGAGTAGCAAAATAGGTCCTATGCAATTTCCTTCTAACTCCACTCGTTAAAGAATAATTGGCGATGAATGAAATAATTAATCGATTGGTCCTCAAGTATTCGAGATAGGAGGAAATTGTATACGACCTTTTTTGTAGGTAATAAAAGTACCTACAACTTTTATTCGAAGCAGTTTTCGAAATGTTTAGAAAAAAACATTATTAATCTTTCCGAGATTTTGCTAAGAGACTTCTCGAAATTTTCCTTTTTCCTTAAATACTCCTAAACCGTTTTTTCCTTAAATGCTCCTAAACCGTTGAACTCACGGGAAAATTGTATAGGATCTTATCTGTAGCTGATAACTAGAGCTACAATTTTTATTAAAAAGATTTTTCACTAGTGTCAATAGTTAACGAGTATTTTGCAATAAACTGTTCTTTTCATTTTTTGTGAAATACTTGTAAACTGTTGACGCTAGCGAAAAATGCTTCAGACAAAAGTTGTAGCTCTTATCAGCTATAAATGTTACCTACTGTATTTTGAGCCCCATTGGGTCTCATTCGCTGTCCCAATGATTATTCTACTTTTAATAGTATCTCCTCGGTGCGCGTACATAGACCGCGATTGCTATTGCAGGCATCGAGTTTCTTGGCCCGATATTCATTAAATTTGGACAATGGGCCTCAACGCGACAAGACTTGTTTCCCGAAGAAGTTTGCCGCACGTTATCGCACTTACAGCGAACCGCTTGCCCGCATTCTTGGTTTTACACGAAACAATTGCTCAAAGCTGTGTACGGCCCGAACTGGAGGAACGTATTCGTGAAATTCGAACACGAGACGCCCATCGGCTCGGGCTGCTGCGCTCAGGTATATAAAAAATCGAGTCGGGTGGAGGTTTGATCGGTAGCCCTGTCCGTTCGAAATCGATTCGATTCCTGTCCGATCGGCAGGTGTACAAGGCCTGGGTGGATCCGAGCGCGTCGGTGGATCTAACGCGAAGGCCTCGAACCTCTGCGTTCGTTCAAAGTAATTGAAACGTGAACGGAAACTTATAAAAATTTTGCCCGATCTCTGATCGTTGCGTTGCCGCGTCGCGAACATTAAATGAATCTTGTTACAGTTATCGAGTATCTTAAGCTCGGCGCGTTATTCGCTTTCATCGGTGAGTAGCGCACAGAAACGAAACGACTATGTCCCAATATGCGACGTAAGAATAAAATGATTTCAGACAGAAAGTTAAATGTCATCCGTGAAACACAATGCGCCGAAGACGCGTGCGTCAGCCGAAATTTACAGCCGGTCGCGGTCAAGGTTCTCCACCCTGGAATCAAACAGCAATTAAAGTATTACACACATTTTCAATAAGAACAAGAAAAAATAGCACTGATCTTTTGACGTATTTAGATTGTTTCTTCCTCGTCCCTTATTTTAGAAGAGATCTTTCTATAATGAGAGGAATCTGCAAATACGCCACGTACATAATTCCGCGATTGCAGTGGCTCAGTCTTACCGATTGCATCGACGAATTCTCGCAGATAATGAAAAATCAAGTAACGTGAAATCAAGTTCTTATTCATTTCTATTTCATCGTATTTTCAATGAACGTTTTCGGAACTTTATGGAGGTTGACATGAAACTGGAGGCAGCCAACTTGATACAATTTTCGAAAAATTTCTCTGACAAGGAAGATGTGGTTTTCCCGCAGCCTTACTGGAATTTCACCCATCACGACGTCCTTGTGGAAAGTTTTCACGAGGGCTCTCCTATTTCCGACTACCTCGAGGACGAGGATACCAAGTTGCAAGAAAGACTAGCGAAAATAGGTGTAAAAACAGTTTTGAAAATGGTTCGCAGTAACATTGACGATTCAGTATGATCAGTGAACACGATCGGTGTATGCAATTCTATATTGCAGGTATTTAACGACAATTTTATTCACTGTGACCTGCATCCAGGTAACATACTAGTAGAGATGAATTGTCAGCCGACTGGGAGGATTAGCGCTTGGTTTTGGAAATTTATCGGTCGTAGATACTTCTCCAATTGCCCGCGTCTAGTCATACTCGATTGCGGCTTGGTGGTGTCTTTGAGCGATCGCTGCCGAAGGAATCTTAAAGACGTCTTCCGTTCGGTGCTCATGGGAAATGTACATGTCCTGTCCGTAACATCGCGTCTCGGATCTAAGCAATATAATCGTGTTTCACGGATAATTCAACGCGAGATGAAGTTACAATAACGTTGGATCACCCGTGAAATGCGATTATGCTCTATAAGTCCGTCGAGATACGATATATTCTCCTTAATCGTCGTTCATTCCTTTCATCCTTTGATCCGTACAATTAAAGGGCGAGTTGGCCGCGGAGTACATATTGGAACACAGTTCCCGCGTTTCCGCTGACCCGGATGGTTTCAAGAATACCATGAAGAAAATAGTAAACGCGCATCTTAAAAACCGAGTCAACGTACGTCTCTCGTTTAACACTAGATTGCCCAAGGAAGTCATTTTGACTGCTTTTGGACAAATGTACAAATAATAATGCATAAATTATTTTTTCCCAAGTGAAGTANATACTAAGTTTCAGTCTTTCTAGTGTTAAACAATTTTCAAAATTCCTCTTTTATTATTGTTTAAAAATATTATAGGTGCACGTGAGTACCATCGTATCTGAATTGTTCACCGCAATGGTTCGACACCGGGTCAAGCAAGACGGATCGTTCAGCAGCGTGATTCTGAGCATGGTGGTGATCGAGGGTCTCGGTCGCAGTTTAGATCCTAACATTGACATTTTCACGGAAGTAGTGCCGTTTATTTTTACGCGCGCCTCAATGTACGACGAATAATTATAAAGTGTTAATTCGAGCGAGTGGAAGCCTCGTACAATTGTATCGAGTATCGTTGAGTTCTTATTTTAAGAGTCCGGATCCTAACATTGGCACCTTCACAGAAGTAGTGCCGTGTACGACGAATAATTATCCATGTTCAATTAATTTCTCCTACAATTTTATCGAGTATTATTATTTTTATGCATTCCATCGCTGAAAGAATTTTGAAACGTAAAAGAAGGCGTTCGAGAAATTACGAATGTTATTCGAATACACTGAGCGGTCGTCGCCGTCCGAATAAGGCGCCGCGCGAGAAAATTCCCGTTTTAATAACGTACCATTAAACGAGTCCCGAGGAGGATTCCGATTTTAAAACAGTATATACACGGACACGTATATAATCGCAACGGTCAGAATTCCGACGAGTGACCAGTTGTTCGTGATTGCTTCCTGGTTGGCCGACCATCTTTGGCACGATGCTGTATCACCGGTGTACGAACACAGAGGAAAGCCTGTATACGCGCGTATACAAATGTGTCGCCGTTTGAACCATTTCTGTGTACGTGAATTCACATTCAATGAAGTTCCGATTAACATCGATCGCTTTAACAAGCAACGTTTTGCTCCTCTATCTTTGAGCACCGAATTAAGATTTTAATACATTGGCTGCGATTCGTTTGATACTGAAAAGTTTGCCCGTGGCCGAGTCGTCGATCTTCCTCGGTAATAAAGATTTAAGAATTCATTCAGTCCGACCGGCTATTTTCTTAATTTGTTCGTTCAAATTGTACCAGGAGTATCACGCCATCTGCAGAACGTAACGATTTGAACTTGAGATCCCCTCCAAAGTTCAACTGTCCCCTCCGCTGATGAGCGCCGAGTTGGGCCAGCAAAAGGAACGGAGAAGCTTGGGAACGGACCGCGAACGCAGATGTGTGAGCGTCGTTCTTCGGAGTGTGTACACCGGAGATGGTCAAGCCCTTCCTCAGCGTTTCATCTTCGAACGTTTCTTTGGGAAAACAAAAATCGAGCGAAGACCCCGGCGGGACCATCCAGCCCGTGGATGTTTTTCACAGCGTACCAAGTAACGGCAGACGGCAATTAATGCTCCTCACTTATCCTGTTTGATCCCAGTCGTTTCAACTACATCTACCGTAGCATACTTGGTGCGCCGTCCAAAATTAGCAACACTTCTGACAGAAATATTATTCGAATCATCCTCGAGATTTCTCTTTAAATACCTTCCTTTAAAAAAAAAAAGCACGAAGCGAAACTGCTGCGTTTTTAATGTAAAAATGATTCGCGCTGACTTCTTATTTACCTGAAAGCTGTCGGGACATTCTACCGGAGCGAAAATAGAATTGTCAGAGATAGATTATGTTTTTATTCGGTGATCGAAGTTGATTTTACCGTTGATTTTACCGCTGGTACCGGCAAAACCACCATCACAATCACCACCACTTCTGCTACCACCACCACGACCACGAACCACCACCACCACCACCATCATCATCGCTACCGCCACCATCAGAATCATCATCTGAACGACGGGGCTTTGGTGTCTTTTTAACTGTACTTCAGACCACGTACACCCTTCGTAAGTACAAGAACTCGGTCTCTCGCCTATTTTTTTTTTTTAATCTTTCCCGGTCACCCGTGCGACACGCGAAACCGATACGTCGAACTTCCGGGTCGCCGAAGCGGTTCATTGCGCTCCGTTCGAAAATTCACGGCCGAACTAAAACCGTCGATTCGCAAACAAGTGGCGAACCGGTACACGCGCGTGTTTTACGTGTAAATAGTGCGAATCGTGTGAGCACGTGGCTCTTCTACAGCGCGGACCAGCGACTTGCTGCGTGGGATCGAAGAGATCAATTGTAATCAGTGGGAGGCGTTTACCGTTTCCTTAAGTCGACTAATTTATTTGCATGGTACCATCGGTTAATAATAATAATTTAGGGACGACTCTGAATCGGATAAACCAAGCCACGTTTCCGATGAATAATTCAAGCGTTTTTTTTTTCGAACGGTAGATGTAAACAGGAAAACAGTTCGAATCCTTTTAGTGAATCGAAATAATTCGTTATTCCTTCGCTGAAAACTCGTTTTACTAGAACCGCATTTACTAATCTATTTGATAATTTTTATTCGCTTCTAACGAAGCGGATCGTGTTCATTTATCCGCGTGTTTTATACGATAACGCGGTTATCGAGTATCCGAGAACTTCAGTGAGTAATGAGTAAAGTTCTGAGATTTTTCTGTCTGCGACTAGAATAGTCAATTTCAAAGTTCATGCAACGGAGTGCTCGTAGATTTAGTTGCTGGAATCGTCCGTAGCTGTCTCGTTACATAATTATCGTACAGCTGATTGACTCATCAAGCTCTTCAAACTGATCAACCTCATTTTTTACCAAACTTAATTATTTGATTCTACAACAAAAAGACTTGAACCGTTTGCTTACGTTGTAATATATATTATAATCGTCTGACGTGTTCGTGTCTTAGAACACGGAAACTATTTCATAGATTACATTTAATTAGTTCGAGGGCAGCGATTAGTTTTCGTTTGGCAATGAACTCGCGCACAGAAACGTATACAGAAATATCGTTGATCTTGCTGGGAATAAAATATTGAAATCAACATGTATACACGCGTAACGTAGATTAATATGGAACGTATTTGTCCGGGAGTTATCAAACAGTAAATATTCAATTGACCGGCATATGGGTCACGCTAATGAGATAATGTGCATTCAACTTTCTTCACTTACGTTTATTACGTGTGTCAGGGGAGGAAAAAAAAAAAATGTAGATTCGCATGAGGCTTCTCTGCCGTTAGCCGGTCGCCGATCACGACTTGTTAAATTGAATTCGCGTGTATTATTGTTCATTTGAATGCCGTGGCTCTAATAGAATCGCGCGCGCCGGTACTTAACGGTGATAAACTGTCGCTAACGAGCGAGAGATTACACGGCGAAAAGTTCTTATGAACTGTCTAGAGTCGCTCTCTCGGCGAGCATAATCCTCGATCAACATCGCAGTCATTAAGAGCGACGTTACTCTGCAGTTTTTACTTTCTATTTGACGCATCCACGCCTTATCTTATCGATCCGTGTTTGTCGTGACAACAAGTACAACGTAAATTATTAACCATGACTTTGTAACTTGTTCTCTTTGCAATTTGAACTTCCTCCTCGATTTTCTGCATCACGCAGTTCTTCTTTAATCTCCCGTTTATCATCCCCACACAATTAACGGTTACTACCTCTCGTGCACGTGTTCCCAGCCACGAGGAGCCTCGTTATCGTGCCCGACGTCTTTTTGTTCCAGCTCGGCTTCGTAACAATGAATAACTCAGTGCAATTAATGAAGACCGATTACGGCCGCTTGTACGCGGCTTGCGATTCGTCCTGTCGGCGTAAAATGAAAATGCGATATGATTCAATTCATTCTTGGTATTACTTAATTTTGATGAAAAGTTCAAGGCGACCTTACGTGAATCGTTTCACGCGTTACGCCACGGCGATAGATCAAATTCATGTATTCGACATCTGCAGATTTTCGTAACCCGGCATCCGGTTGCGTCGTGTCGTTGGTCGCACTGAGGAATCGTAATCGGCGAGTAATCAGGAGTCCGAGGCCTCCGCCTTTATTTAGGCATTTTCTCCTCGATCCGTGTAACAGCTCCGCGATTACCGAGTCAAAGAGAGAGCAGGGTCATCGCGACGGCACGCGTTATCAGGACCGCGAGTGCAAATAGAAGAAACTCGGTGTCCGTAAATAACACCGGGACAATCAGTCGGTCGCGGGCAGCGTGCGCGAGGCGTCGTCGGTCGTCGTGTGAATTTTTTCGCCGGCTGCCAGCATCTCGTTTCGATTTATCGCGAAAAAGCTCTCGCTCAGCTTCCGCGAGTCCGCTCCTAGCCACGCTCGCCGGCGTGTGCACAGGCTCTCTCTCTATCAATTTCCTGTTTCGCATTCGTTCTCCATAGACCGGTCGAACGAACCCCCTACCTATCTAGGATCTAAGAGAAGTTTTGCTCGGGTGTCCCGGCCGAGCATGTATCTTACGCGATGCGGTTGGTCATCATAGTCGCGTGTGAAACTGCGTTCCCGGCATAGTTTGCCTCAAAAACATCATGTAAGATTTCTGCGTACGGACTCTCCGTCCTCCGCTCATTCTTTCTCTCTACGCCACGTATTTTTATCACCGAGATAACGTACGTCTGTGAAAATAAATTACTGTTTGCCGACCAGCGTCGAGTCGGATCGAAGATACCTACGGTACACACCGTGTACCGATGTGTAACTTTCGCTAATTCGAGTGTCGCGTGATAAAAATTTTATTACGCGCGTCTGTCGTCGCCGTTCGAGGAGTAATAAAAAAAAAAATAAGTGCGTGAGCCAAGCGGCTTGTTCTTTCCACAGGAATCTCGCCGAGGCGCCGGGTCTCGAGATGCTACTTTCGAGCGCTTGGTTCGAAGTGATAGCGGCAACACTATTGACCATCCTGATATTCGCTACCAGTTATCGTCCAGCTTGGTGGTTCTGGACCGGAGCTCATAGAACCAACGGTAAGTTTACATAGAACGGTATCCTATCCAACAGACTAGCAAGAATCAATTGAGAATCGTGAATAGATTTAGTCGATAAATTGGAGTGATCGAATGCAAATTCACGTATCTTTTACTAAAATTAAATGGACATCAGTCAGTTCGTATTCTTATTCACCCTGTACATGGTAATATCAATATTGACGTTGATAGTAGATCCACTTCGGAATGTTTGTAGACGACATGGTCGAGGTCGATTTATGTTTCTATTTGAGTTTGTATTAGAAATGAATTTTTTACTGTTGCGAAGTGAACCAGTTTCCAAATTTTTAACACTAGTTTAACTTCATTCTATCGTAAGATAATAGAATTATGGAAACGTTGAAAAAATAACTATTTCGATTTGTAATAATCATTACGAAGAATCGAGTAATTCAAATTTTTTTCACGTTGCCTAAATCGTGGCTGAGGAAAAACACCGCTTGAACAATGCTCGGCCGTCGACGTTTCGCCACGTGAAAGTGAATTTCTACGCGCTAATCAAACAGAATAAAACGCGAGAAGCGCGTGCACGTGCGCGGCCGTAATCGCGTGGCGGAACAGCGTTCCTCTCTTCATGATTGGTAAACGTCGGAAGAAAATCACGTTCGGTGGTACGGCGCGGCCTTCGAGGCGAATGGTGCTCGTGGTCACGGTCTCCTTTCTAAGCTCGGAGCTTGATTCCACGCGGCAAGGTCGCCCCGTCGACCTCGACCGTCCTCCTCCGACCTCGCGGAGTTACTTTCTTGGCTAACGCGAAGAGCTGACACAAAGTTGTTCGCCGGGGAACTCATGTTCCTCTTTTTGCGGGATTCGCAGCCCGGGAGAAGCACGAGAGGAGGTTTAAGACCGTGTCGGACGTGCCTGGGCCGTATTCCCTGCCAGTCCTTGGAACCAGGTGGATATTCTCTTGCGTAGGGCGTTATGACCTCAACAAGATCCACGAGGCTTACAGGGGTAAGAAGTCGAGGCTAATTAATACCGTGGAACGATCTCGCTCTGCCACCCGACTTTCCAGCTTCCTGGTCGCCGTATATGTTTTAACAAAGCGGATTGTTTCTGATTCAAGAATAGATTTGCATCGGCGATATGGCGCGTTATGCAAAGAGGAAGCGTTATGGAATTTCCCTATTGTGTCTCTGTTCTCCCGTCAGGATATCGAGACTATCCTGCGGCGAAGCCCGAAATACCCTTTGCGTCCTCCGCAGGAAGTAATCTCGTACTATCGGCGTATTCGCAGAGATCGGTACACGAATCTCGGTATGGTCAACGAGTGAGTAGTTTTATAAAAAGAATATCATATCCGGGCCGATCGAAACTTTTAAACAAACAGACGTACGATAAAAAGGTCATTGAAATCGGGACGACGAGAGACCGCTTGAAAACTAATAACAATAATAATAATAATAAAAAGAGAAAGAATCATTTTTGTAAAATCACGTAAGAAGTTAAAACTTTAAACGAAGGGAATAACTCAGACAGGGGAAAACGTGGCACGATCTTCGGCTCGCTCTTACGTCAGAGCTGACGGGGTCCAACACCGTCCTTGGCTTCTTCCCGGCACTGAACATCGTCGCCGACTCGTTCGTCGACTTGATCCGTCGCACGAGAACGGGTTGTTGCAAGGTGACAGGTTTCGAGGAGCTCGCGTACAAAATGGGACTCGAGAGTAAGCTCCTCTTTTATTTCACCGCGTCGATTCATAAATCCTCCACGGTCCTCCTGCGTCCTCAGGTACCTGCACCCTGATCCTCGGTAGACATCTGGGCTTCTTGAAACCAGACTCGAGCAGCGAGCTGGCGATGAGGCTGTCCGAAGCGGTCAGGATACATTTTATGGCACTGAGGGACGCCTTTTACGGATTACCGCTTTGGAAGGTGTTACCCACGGCCGCGTACAAACAGGTGATAGAGAGCGAGGATGCCATATACAAGTATGTCGTGGAGAATATTTTAACGAGTCTCGACAGCTCGGCGAGCTGGGAGACGATTACGCGTTTCGCGTTATAAAAGTTGCTCGCTTTCAGCATCATTTCGGAGATCGTCGAGGCGACGATATGGGAGCAGCGGGACGACGCCAGAGACGAATCGGTCGAGGCTGTCTTTCAGTCCATCCTCAGGCAAAAGAGTTTGGACATGCGTGATAAGAAAGCAGCTATTGTCGATTTTATAGCGGCTGGTATACACACAGTGAGCCTCCTTTATTTAAACGCCCTTATGGAGAACACTTGTAACAGTGAATCTTTCATTCCTGTCGTCTTTTATTTTTGATACGTTCAGCTAGGAAATACTCTGGTGTTCCTCTTCGATTTGATTGGACGCAATCCTAGCGTACAGGCCAAGCTTTATGAAGAGACCTACTCGTTGGCTCCGCCTGGCTGCGATTTAACCATCGAGAACTTGAAGCAGGCTAAATATTTGCGCGCGTGCATCACCGAGTCTTTCCGGTTCGTAACGCGTCTCGCGATTACTCTTAGAATCGACATTAACCTGCTGTGATTTATTTAGAATGATCCCGACTACGACCTGCATCGCGCGTATCTTAGATGAACCCGCCGACCTCAGCGATTATCATCTGGCCGCCGGTGTGAGTAGAATCGATCTTTCCCATTTTCCGATATACGGAACATTTCTGATAAGAATTTATCGTTCGAGTATCGTGGCGCGTCCTTCGATCCTTAAAACGATTTTTTTCTATCAGACCGTGGTGCTTTTACACACTTGGATAGCAGGTCTGAATGAAGAGAATTTTAAAGACGCCAGGAAATATTTTCCTGAGAGATGGCTGACGACCGTCAGCCCTCATTCACCGATGCTGGTCGCACCGTTCGGAACTGGGAGAAGAATCTGTCCGGGGAAGCGATTCGTCGAACTCGCGTTACAGCTTATCCTGGCGAAGGTTCGTGAAGTTTCGTTTTCTGTTTTAAACATTTTCATAATTGTACATTCTTCCACAGATCATACGTGAGTTCGAGATCATTGCGGACGAAGAGCTGTCGTTCCAATTCGAATTCATCCTCGCGCCAAAGGCTCCGGTCTATCTCGGTTTCCGCGATCGTTCGCAAGTGTTATAACGATTTACAGAAAACCACTATGTTTTTGATCATACTTGTAATTGAGAAACGACGTCTTAATTACAAGTACGATTGAATATAACTTTCTTTATGATGTGCCCAGCTTTCGTTTCGGATAACGATTTTGATTTCACAACAAGTTGAACGATGCATTTGTTGCAAATAGTTTTTGTTTAGCAGTCGCAGAGTACTTATTGTTCACTGGAGTGTAATGTAATATTTATATTTAATAACATCGATCGACCGTTTTAGTTTTCTACCGTTCAAACTGTCCTACGTTTACTTTCACGAACATTCACGATACGATGTAAAAAAACGTCTGCGTCTTCATTATTATTATTATTATTTGATAAATGTAATAAACGTGAACCAGCGACCGTGATCGTTCCAACATCGTAAGATAACGGCCATGTAAATAAAACATGTATTATAGATGTCATGTGTTGAATATAGTTATAAATATATTGATAGCTGAAAAAAGTCAAAGGTTCTTTACACACATACTGCTGGAAGCAGCTTCTCAAGCGTTTTTTCTCTCAATCGGCTGATCTGAAGTTTATTCTTACTAATAAGCTACACTCCATATAAAGGATGTCCCAGAAAAAGTGTTAGAGCAGAGGAGAGGTGATTCTGGAGGTGTTTCTGAACAACAATTTCCTTTGGTAAAATGCAAAGTGAGCCATGGTTTTTGAATTATTAACGAAAAATAATGATCAATGAGAATAACACTTTTTCTGGGACACCTGTATAACGAAACTGCCTCCAGACCTCCAGTAGTATTACATTTTTTACCCATTCTTTTCAATTTTATCAGACTTCTCGAGTGCTAGGGAAGATCTACACGAACAAGATTACTCAACGTTTATTTATTTATTTATCTGTTATCGATCTTAATTAGTAAAACTATAATACATATACATGCAAAATAGTACTTGAACGGACTGGAAATAGTTGATCGGATACACTAATAAAAATGATAAAAACAACCGAATCGGTAGTTAATTTTCTCTCTCTATCTCTCTCGTGATTTCATAGCAATTGATCTACGTACGATGGAACTTACGTTTTGATTCAGACAATATTCTTTTCGCGGCTGTTACTTGACCAAACTTTTGATGCTCCTGGGTAGATTAGGGATGGAACCCTTGTTCACACTGGCCGCCGTTGGTCGCATGAAACTGTGATTCCTGGTCCCGGCTCTCGGATGACTCAACTTACTTTTCATAGTTGAGGATGGCACTTTTTCGATGTTCGGACGATTCATCAATGACGATTGCGGTCCCGCGCTGCTCCCGCTGCTGCTGCTGCGCGACGCGATTCCCCGAGCTTTAATTCCTTTCTGTGCATCGGTGGTCGACTGAGAAAGCAGAGAACATTTTAAAATTCATATAAAAAATAAAAGATTTGCGGTGCCAGTTAAAAAAAATGGAATTTGAATAGCTTTAACACTAGATTGCCCAAGGAAGTAATTTTGACTGCTTTTGGGCAAATGTACAAATAATAATGCATAAATTATTTTTTTTCCCAAGTGAAGTAAATTTTTCTTATTGTTAACATTTACTAATAACTTGTTATATGACTGTAAATAATATAAAAAATATTAAAAATTAATTTTAGACAAATTTCTTTACACATTATTCTTTCACAATG